TCTGTTTCGTCTTTTTGTATTTATTACTTGGAAATGGTATCACGTTTACTTAGGTGGAATCCTACCTGAGATGTTCTGTTTCACAACTCTACCCTCTGAGGATTTCCTAGACTTTGTTTCACATAATAATGTCACATCTGCTAAACTTTGGTGGACTTGTCGAATTTGACATTATATATATTCACAGTTAATATCAATAAAAGAAACCGAACTATTTTTGTACTCCATATTACTATTTGCATGCTTGAAGTGTTTTCTTATACTGTTTTGTTTTCTTTAACAGCTTATCGGAAATATTGCCGAGAGATTTCATGCTTTATGTTTGAAAGACAGTGGTGTCTTATACGAGGATCCTCATATCCAGGTTTGTTTTTTTCTAGTCTCGCTTTTATTTATTCTAGTATGAAGATTGCAGACAGACAAGCCTCTGAGCTTCTTATGTTCCCCATTTTGTTTATTGTCGGTATTCCTCAGATTGGCATCAAAGCTGAATGGAGAGGGCATCATGGGAGACTTGTTCTCTTCATGGGAAACAAGAATACTTCTCCACTTACATCAGTTCAAGCTCTGATACTACCCCCTGCCCATTTAAGACTGGATCTGTCTCCAGTACCTGATACGATTCCTCCTCGAGCACAGGTATTTTTGTTTGTTGATTTATTACAATCTTACTACTCAATATGTCAATTCTGCTCATTTATGTATACTCTACTAAGTGTTGCAATTTCTTTCATGGTTATAGGTGCAATCTCCACTTGAAGTGATGAACATCCGCCCTAGTAGGGATGTTGCGGTTTTGGATTTTTCCTACAAGTTTGGTGCCAGCGTGGTAAGTACTGCAACTGTCCTTAGCTTGTTTTAATGAATGAATATTTTAGTGTACCTGACATGCTGGATTTTTTATAGGTCAGTGCCAAATTACGGATCCCGGCAACCTTGAACAAGTTTCTTCAACCGCTACAATTGACATCTGAAGAATTCTTCCCTCAATGGAGAGCACTTTCAGGGCCACCCTTGAAACTTCAGGAAGTTGTATGTATCTCCACAGCCTCTCTGATCAAATATCAAATTAAAAGTATTTGAGTAGTGCAAGAAATAAGTCAAATGCTCCTACGAATTTTCTTTTCAAAGAAATTCATGAATTAGCTTTCTTCATAAAATCCTTTTAATGAATGATGATTGCTCTAGGTTAATCACAACACTTACAGAGAACTTCCAAGATTTCTACATGTGCTTGTTAATGCAGCATTACGTTAATGTGTTATATAATCTGAATCTGCAACTTTTTTCAGGTTAGAGGTGTAAGACCTCTAGCTCTTCCGGAAATGGCAAGTCTGTTCAACAGTTTTCATGTGACGATATGCCCTGGGCTTGTAAGTATTTTTTCACGATCTCATTCCTTCATTCCTCATGCTTGTTGCACACATGTTTACCTTAAACTTAACTTGTATGGTTTTCTGTTGTAGGATCCAAATCCTAATAATCTAGTGGCAAGCACAACCTTCTACTCTGAAAGTACAGGAGCCATGCTCTGTTTGGTGAGATTTCAACCAAGTTTCACTTCCTGGTTTTGGCTCTTGCCGCTCTTCGAATTCGTAAAATTTCTTGAGACTTATAGTTGACGTGTGACATTGTCTGTGGTTTGCGATTTTCAGGCAAGAATTGAAACAGACCCAGCAGACAGAACCCAACTGCGAATGACAGTAGGGTCGGGAGATCCTACCCTTACATTTGAGTATGATATCTCTGCCTCTTAGCACAAACCCAACCTCCAATACAGTTTTCTCTTCGTTTGCATTTGTTGACCTCTTTTCACCCACAGGTTAAAAGAATTCATCAAGGAACAACTAATTACTATCCCAATGGGATCTCGAGCTCTAGTTCCAGCAGCAAGTTCAGCACCATCACCAGCACCACCTGTAGCTCAACCTCCTAGCCCAGCGGCTTTAGCTGATGATCCAGGAGCTATGCTTGCCGGCTTACTTTAAATTCATTGGGATAAGAGATTTACTTGCACATGTCGAAAAGTTTGTTTTTCCGTTATTGTAGAATGTAATGGCGAAAACATGGAATGATGGGAGAGTATATGTAGAGCCAAGGAAGGGGAGAGGGGAAGGTTTTAATAGAAAAGCTAGTTTTGATTATATTGGTGCCTATTATCCAAAGCGGGCGGTTTGAGTTAGCTACGAAATTTTGCATTGATTCTAAACATTTGTGATGTGAGGTCAGTGGTTGTATCAGCTTGTTCTTGTGCCTATATATTTTCAATCTGTTTCTCCATGATTTTTCTGATGGGAGGTCTGTTTTTTCGCACCAGCCTTCACATTGAGAGATTCTAATGTAGTCATATAGGGGGGAAATTGCAAAGACACATACCCAACGCATAGCATTTCACCTGTAAAAACCTGATCTAATTTGAGGTTTGATTTATTATAGGAGATGAAATCAGGAGTTGGCCAGAATTCTGAAAGTCGAGGCTACTAATGAAAATGCATTCACTTGTAGCAAGACCTGTTACTTGATGCAGCTCTCTTGGCATTACTAAACTTGTGTAGATCAGGTTCATGGGTTTTTCACAGACAACATTCCATCCAGAGAAGCAACAGCTGATGCAGCCAATTCTCCATTTGTGTAATGATTAATGCAAGCATGAGGTTTTAACTGATAAATCCTTGTGAGTAATGCCAGCAAACAAATCCGTCTCTTGCGCTCCACTTGATCTTCCTAAAACAGGACCGCCAGCATAGCCTGATGAAGCATTTGAGAGAGAGCAATTCTTCTAAAATTATCTCAAATTTAAATACAGGGAACTGGAAACTAATTTGAGAGCTGTAACGTAAGAAAAAAAAAAGCAATTAATGATGCAACAACACAAAAAAAAAAAAAAAAAAAGATCTTTATGTGTATAATTAATGATTTTGTTTAACGTTAAAATATTTGATCTGACGCAATTACCCTGAGGCCAAAGAAAAGGAGACATTGTCCCAAACGATGTCGGTTTCCAGTCCAACTTTGATTTCGATTAACTTTCTTGGGACAAAAGGAAACTTATATTTCCTTTTTTTCTAAGTCTCTACAGTCTATATATTATCCGATACACGAACCATACCTCTCTAAGTTTCCTTAATTTGATATCCGAAGTTGTGAGTTGTTAACCCTAAAGATCAACAGAAGATGATGAAGAAGATTGCGATTGCGATTGCCACTGAGAGATCTGATCTCCCTCCTTTGGTATCTGCTGCAATTAGAGCTGCTAATTCACAAAACGTTTCTGATGTTGAACGTTGCTTTGATGTTCTTCGATACATGAAGAGTTTGAATCTCTCAGTCAATGATCTTTGCCATTCCAAAGTGATACTTCCTTTGGAGAGTCTAAGAGATCACGAAAACCCTAAGATACGAATGGAAGCTAACGTTTGGTTCAATTCATGGATGAAGACTCTTTATTCCAGCGGACGAAACTCTTCTACTTGCAACAAAGCTATTCCCTAAAACTGAAGAAAGTTGATGTTAAAGTATGTTCGCAGTTGAAGAAGAAAGAAGATGAGAGATCTCAGGCTCATGAAGCCACAGAGGTGAAACAAATTGGTGATTGCAAGTGTTTTGCAGCGAGGACTATCCAGAAGACGAAGCTATCGGCTCTACCAATGAAATTTTCCGAAAACCCTAACAATTGTCTTGCCTTGAAGAAGAACTCAACGGAGATGTTGGAGCTGTTCGAAATAGCGAAGAAATCAGTGCAGTTACCACTAAATTTCCATTACTCAAAAGCTAACAATGTAGTGAGAGTTGTGAATATATATTATAAGGATTTTCACAATCTCTCTCTCTTGTTTCAAGTACGGTATGTTTCTATATTTTTGTTTACGTGAATTCATGAAAAATGGAGTTTGACTGATGCATTTGTTGTAATGAAAAGACAATAAGTCAATACTCTTTTTAATTTCTTCCGTAAAACTAAAAATGTTCAATAAGAAACTGTAATGGAAACTGATTCTTGTGTGCTTAATGGAGCTCTTCTCTCTTTTGTTCCATCGTTATCATCAGAAACTCTAAACAGAGTCCGTACTGTAAACCAGAGAAGAAAAGAGAAAAAGAACTTGATGCCTAAGCAACACAAAGAGGAAAGTCCTTAGTAGCAATGCCTTGATCTATAGCCAAGCCAAGCAACAACATTCTAGGAGCATACCCTATCGCCGCCAGGCCCGCCACTGCTTTCTAGTTCAACAATTCTTCCTGTTCGTCGTCCTGTTGCTTATGATGTTGTTATGAGACACTCAAAAACGAGAGTACGTAGTCTTAAGTCCTTTGGGAATAGTCCCTGAGAGTTAATATCTTGACAGGTCTATTGGACATTGGACAAAGACACACTAATATGACCTGTGAAGGCATTTAAATAGAGATCAATGGTGCTCTATATGAAGTATTAAGATTGTATAGTTTAAGTGACAATACTTTCCTATTCACAGAGTAATTTGGTTGCAAATATTCCAGCAGAATATCTAGAGTATCTAAAATCTTTATTCAAAGGACTTCATAATATATTGAGTGAAATTAGAAAATGCGTATAACAAAAAAGAATCAAACCGGTACTGTTGTACCGGAATTTGCTGCAGTCATCAAAATGCGTATAAACCACTTGATTCGTTGTTCCCACTAATATTACGCTGGGACCAGCCAAACCATTGCAAGACCCGACATGACTCGAATTCATAACCCGATTTTCTCATGGTAAACTGAAACACCAATTGAATGCATTGACCAGCGACGGAAAACAGTCGTAAATGAAAAAAAAAAAGTGAAAACAGAAACAGCAGTAAATAAATATTACCCAAAACGGTAAAAGGAGACGGTTTTTTGACAAAATAATACGCAAACTTATAAACACTCGAATTCAGTCCAAATCCTAGACGCGTAAATTCTGTTTTTTGACGAGTCGATTTCGGATTTTCCAAATTCAAAACAGACGAAAACAGAATTATACAAAATTGAATAGTCAAAAGTTGTAAATAAATAAAAATAAAAGTCGTCTCTTCCCGCAAGCTTGTCTCTCTCTCTTCTCCGAGATCATCAGTCTCTCCTTTTGAATTTCTCCCATTGGAGGTGTCATTTTCCGTTTCTAGATTAGGGTTTCGATCTCAGCTCTCGCGAATTGTTTATCCTTCAGCTGTAGTCTGCGGTTAATATCGTCGTTAGATCCGGTTTTGCGAGTTCGGATCTGCGCCGTGTGAGGCGGCGGAAGACGGTGGATCTGAGGATTTGGTTCCACCATGACCGGAATGAGAGGTCTCTCCGTATTTATCAGTGACATTCGTAATTGCCAGAACAAGGAAGCGGAGAGACTACGAGTTGATAAGGAGCTTGGAAACATACGTACCTGCTTCAAGAATGACAAGGTTAGTGTCAATTATCTCCATTTTTGTTTGTCTTTGTTTTGATTCTCAATTGAGAGGTGATTCGGTGCCCAAGTAATATCTGCTGAGGGTTTGTATTGATTAGAGATATTGGAGATTTCTCCTTTGCAGTTACCTATCATTCCGAGATTGTTTCACCTAGACTCAGTTACAATACAATCGAATGTTAGAGCTATTAGGTTGAATAGGGAGTTAGAGAAGAATGTAGTTGAAACCAAGATGCAGTCACTGGCCGAATCGTTTATCGGGAAAACCGTAGTTACCGAGTGGATAGTTTTGGAGAGAGGATATTGATTTTGATTTAACACAAACTGTGTACCTGGACACACAGTATAATGCTTCCGTTGTATAGCTAATTCATATCCTTGGATATTAGCCATTATTCTACTGCTTTTAACGTGGAATGTTATTAGGCAGTATAATGTTTCCGTTGTATCTCTAGTCGATATGTAAGACACTGAATATACGATGATAATGATATTTAGGATTTATGAACTTGAAGAAAAGAATGGCCTGGCAGTAAGTTCGGTTATGTAGTGATGGTCTAAGGAAAGAAATCAAGGTCGGGGAAAAATCTGAATAGCTTTTCATTACGATGTAGATTAAGATTTATTGCTGTTAGAAGTTCTGGAGTAATAATCTGGTTCCATACTATTACGTAGCAGAGCTGTATCTGACCTGTAGTGGATCCATTTGTGGCCAGTTGGACCAACACCAAACTTTTTCTTTTTCAGGGTTCATGTTAGAAATGAATCAATCAAGCACTCTTTGATTACTTGACATGCTGTGATTACTTGACATGCTGTTTTATGTTGCAGGTTTTGACACCATATAAAAAGAAGAAATATGTCTGGAAAATGCTTTATATACATATGCTAGGCTACGATGTGGATTTTGGCCATATGGAGGCGGTTTCTCTTATATCTGCGCCAAAGTATCCCGAAAAGCAGGTAAGCCAACGTTTTGTTTGCTCAAGTAATTAAATATTGCTTCTAAGGCTAGGAACAGAGAATAGGTGGGGGTGTTTGCTGAAATATATTCTAGTGATCAAGCTGAAACAAAGAAAGTTTCACTGAAGATCACGGAAAGTTAGATCTAGATACTATTTCATGCGTTTGCAACTTGGCTTGACCTGGTAAAGTATTGCAGACAATTACTTATAAGCACGAGTTACTTAGTAACATCTTAGAAACTCTTAACCAGAACCATGCATTGTATCTCAAGGGTTTGTATTTCCAATTTATATTATTTCATGCTCCTTAACTAATTTGCACGTATTGAACTTTTTATCCATGATTACAGGTTGGCTACATTGTTACATCTTGCTTGCTCAATGAGAACCATGACTTTTTGAAGTTGGCAATAAATACAGTGCGGAACGATATTATTGGTCGGAATGAGGCTTTCCAATGCCTAGCACTGACCTTGGTATGTGGTCTTTTGTCCATCCTGTATTGAGATTTTAGAGCATAGTAAGGTTCTTCTGATTATAAGATGCTGTTAAATGACTGTTTTAATGGAAGTCTTTGGATACATTATGTCTTTTGTGCTCTATCATTTCACGATTCAAAGCCACTTACTTCATTAACTGGTCCTTTCTTTCTAGCTCTCTTACCTTGCCATGCTTACTTTGTCCTGTAGGTTGGAAATATCGGTGGAAGAGATTTTGCTGAATCATTAGCACCTGATGTTCAAAAGCTACTTGTAAGTGACTCCTAAAGATGAGAGGTTATGTTTTTTTCCCAATATTAGTAAACATATTATGTTATGGGGCCTCTTTGCTGCAGATTTCTAGTAGTTGCAGACCTCTCGTAAGGAAAAAAGCAGCACTGTGCCTACTGCGCTTATTCCGAAAAAATCCTGATGCTGTCAACGTGGATGGCTGGTGTGTATTAACACTCTGTGGTTACTGGTTCTTTGATTTTACAAGTGCATCTTTCATATATTTTCATTATCATATACTTCCAGGGCGGATCGTATGGCACAACTTTTGGATGAACGAGATCTTGGTGTCTTGACGTCTTCTACAAGTCTTCTTGTAGCTCTGGTATCTAATAATCATGAGGCGTACTCAAGTTGTCTACCTAAATGTGTCAAAATATTGGAACGCCTTGCTAGGAATCAGGACGTTCCTCAGGAGTACACATACTATGGCATTCCATCTCCTTGGCTCCAGGTTTGACTTAACTCGGCTTATTCACTCTTGTTAATAGCTTAAATATTCTTTAATTGCATCCTTTTTACAATTCCGTGCATTTTAAGCATTTTATGTGAAATTAGCTTATGAAAATACAGGCTTGCCCCAGCTTTGGTGTATTTTTGTTGCTCAGTTAAAGGTATCGTGGATACTTATATATCTTTGGTTAGTACAGGTTAAGGCAATGAGGGCTCTTCAATATTTCCCGACCATTGAAGATCCCAGTACCAGAAAAGCTCTCTTTGAGGTTCAATTTTTCTTGCGTAAATCTCTAATATATGTATTTGAATTCCCTCTCATGGCATTTCATGGAAATTTCAGGTCCTTCAGCGAATATTGATGGGGACAGATGTTGTGAAAAATGTGAATAAAAACAATGCGTCTCATGCTGTGCTGTTTGAAGCTCTATCCCTGGTAAGTTCTTCGGACAGCTGGGGTTTTGATACCATGAATTTTACTAGTGCACCAGTTTTTCTCCCTCTTCCCCTTCACCCCTCCTCAACGGCCTGTCAAGACGCATTTACTCAAAGCAGAATACTGATGTGTGCATGGATGTTTTAAAATATATTTTTTGGTTTTGCTGGAGAAACTTCGAGTGTTTGAATTGCTTGCAGCTACTTGTACGATATTCTTGTCTATTGTTTTTCTTGTTTGAAAGTAGAATAAAATTAGATGCTCTGCTTGAAGGTTTCGGCGCTATTTCTAGGAGGTTTATCATGGATAGTTGACTTGAGTGTTCCTAACAGTCTGGCTTAGTGTGCAACCTCCTAACTTGTTAATGTGTTTTGATATAGGTCATGCATCTTGATGCTGAGAAGGAAATGATATCACAGTGTGTTGCTCTTCTTGGCAAGTTTATTTCGGTCCGTGAGCCCAACATTAGATATCTAGGCTTGGTGAGATCTTGCATACCACTTCCTGCATCTAAGCCTAGCTGGAACAGTTATCTGTTAAGTGTTTGGTGGTGCATTATGTGGCTTCTCATGATGCATTTGTTGACAAAATTACAGGAAAATATGACGCGGATGCTGATGGTCACAGATGTTCAAGATATCATAAAGAAGCATCAGTCTCAGATAATCACCTCCTTGAAAGACCCTGACATCAGGTTGGTTTAGATTTGCCATCTCAGCATCAGCTTTTCTGGCTTGTGAACCCAGATCAGTATCTCGTTACTGTTCTAATTTGGAACCAGTACGACAATTTTTTCAATCATCAAATTCTTATGATTCAATATAACGTACTTTACTTTGTCTCTAGAGTAGTTGTGAATTTAAGATCATTTCAGTCAGCATTAAAATTATTTGATTTGGGTGGTATATATTAAACTCTAAGAAAATTGAAGCTGTATCTAATACATATTTTTTAGTGAAACATTATTTGCTGATTTGTTTTCTTGTGATAAACTATAGGTATAAATATGTGGTAGCAATCCGTATACGGTTACATAAGAAATATGATATTATTATATTATTGGCTGGTGGGTCAGTACTATTTCTATGACGTTTGTCATAAAAAGATGGATGAGTACCACAGTCCATTAGGTCTTAGTCCTATTTCCGTTGCAAATGGTGGCTTCCGTTTTAAAAACATATAGTTTTATTTATATTCTCTTGGTTCTTTTGCTTATGGTGTCAGATTCACTATTGGTTGAACTTTCCTGCAGTATTCGTAGGCGTGCTCTTGATTTATTATATGGGATGTGCGATGTGTCAAATGCAAAGGATATAGTCGAAGAGTTGTTGCAGGTAAGTCTTTGACCTTGCTTTATATTAATATTTCCTTGATTTGGAGTCTCCTTATGATTTGTGAAGTTTAATAGAAAGGAAGGATTAAGTTGTGTAGTGTTTAAGCTTATGTGGAACCCAAAAATACATTGCAGTATCTTAGCACAGCAGAGTTTTCCATGCGGGAGGAATTATCACTTAAAGCTGCTATCCTTGCTGAGAAGTTTGCTCCTGATCTATCATGGTAAGGAGAACTCGATACGACGTATATGTACACTTCATTCATGCACACAGATTTGGTTACAGTGACATGCATTAGCCATTTGGTGTGACCATTAGATCCTTAGACAAACAACTGGTCAAAGATGTTAATTTTGATGTTTTCAGGTATGTCGATGTGATCCTTCAGTTGATCGACAAGGCTGGGGATTTTGTTAGTGATGACATTTGGTTTCGTGTGGTTCAGTTTGTTACAAATAATGAAGACCTGCAGGTTTATATGATTGTTAAGATAAATATATTGTTTATCCTATTTATGACATTCGAAAGTTGCTTACAAATTTCTTTGATCCGACAGCCTTACGCCGCGTCAAAAGCAAGAGAATATTTGGACAAAATCGCAATACATGAGACTATGGTGAAGGTTGTACATTCTCGCTTCCCATAACAATTTTTTCCTATATTGCATATTGCGGATAACACCTTAAGGAAGGATTGTTTTTGTTTTATAGGTTAACTGTGGTGGTAAATTTTAGCACTCGGCTGATTCTCTGATTTTGAACAGGGCTTCCTTAAGTCAGATCATTGGTCTCTCTCTCAAGTAACTTAGGGTTTGAAAAACAGCTTCTCCAGTCAGCATCTTACCCTGCTCCTCAACACTCAGCAAATCCACAAATAGAAACGAGTCGTTGCTTCGGAAAGCCTTGTTCAAAATCAGAGAATCAACCAAGTGATAAAATTTACCACCACAGTTAACCTATAAAACAAAAACAATCCTTCCTTAAGTTGTTGTTGCTTAATTTGGGAATTTAGATTTACTACCTTGCTACACATGCGGACACAATCTTATATGTATCTAAATTGTTTGCAAAATACAAATTAACAATGCTTACCAACAATAAATATATTTTCTTTCGGAATTTCAGGTCAGTGCTTATATTTTGGGGGAGTATGGTCACCTTCTAGCTAGACAACCTGGATGCAGTGCAAGTGAACTCTTTAGCATCTTACATGAGAAGCTTCCCACAGTATCGTAAGGACAACACAAATGCTGAAGTGCGCTCTTCTTGTCTTTGAGTATGTCTTAAACGGTTCTTCTTTTTTTTTTCTCTCAGGACTCCCACCATTCCTATTCTTCTTTCGACATATGCAAAGCTTCTTATGCACACTCAACCCCCAGATCCAGAACTGCAAAAAAAAGTTTGGGCTGTATTTAAGAAGTGAGACTTGCTAACTTTGTTGTCCTTCCCCAATGTTTTACTTGTCATTTTATGTACTGTTTTTTTTTTGGTAACCTAATCAAGTTTCCTAAAAGAGTTTTGTTTTCGCAGATATGAGAGTTGTATTGATGTGGAGATACAACAGAGGGCAGTTGAATATTTTGAATTGAGTAAAAAAGGGCCTGCCTTTATGGATGTATTGGCTGAGATGCCAAAATTTCCGGAGCGCCAGGTTTGTAAATTATTTGATGATTCTATGAAAGTTACTTTGATGGGACGTTTGTGCTAAACGATTTGATGCTGGATTTTCTTCCATAGTCTTCATTGATAAAAAAGGCAGAATATGTTGAAGATACCGCAGACCAGAGTGCCATCAAGCTTAGAGCACAACAACAGCCTTCAAATGCTTTGGTTTTGGCTGACCCACAGCCTGTTAATGGGGCACCACCACCTTTGAAGGTTCCAATTTTAAGTGGAAGCACGGTGAGAGCTTCTCTTTGTCGGCCTCAATTGACGAGACATTTTCATGTGCTTTGCCCATTATATAGCACATACTTTTATCTCTCTGACAGTCTGTTTTTTCTTACATGTCTAGCAGGACCCCGAGTCAGTGGCTCGATCTGTCTCACATCCCAATGGAACTTTAAGTAATATAGATCCACAAACTCCATCACCTGATCTGCTTAGTGACCTGCTCGGTCCTCTTGCGATAGAGGCTCCACCTGGAGCTGTCTCAAATGAACAACATGGTCCCGTAGGGGTAGAAGGAGCTGCAGATGAAGTTGATGGTTCCGCCATTGTACCTGTTGAAGAGCAAACAAATACAGTGGAGGTATTCTTTTCTTCTTCCTTTGCTTTCTTTGGCATAATAGGTTTTAGCATCGATGAAATTATGCTTCTACTTTTGCTAGCTCATTATTTCCCTAGGTTTTTTTAACCATACGCCATTTTCTTTCTGTTTCCTTTTTCTGTATTTATTACTTTGAAATGGTAAAACGTTTACTTAGATAGAATCCTACCTGAGATGTTCTATTTCACAGTTCAAGATTCATAATAAAAGAAACCGAACCATTTTTGTATTACATAATACTATTTGCATGCTTGAATTGTTTCTTATACAGTTTTGTTTTCTTTAACAGCTGCTCGGAAATATTGCGGAGAGATTTCATGCTTTATGTTTGAAAGACAGTGGTGTCTTATACGAGGATCCTCATATCCAGGTTTGTTTTTTCTAATCTCTTCTTTTATTTATCCTAGTACGAAGATTGCAGACAGAACAGCCTCCGAGCTTTCTTATGTTCCGCATTTTATTGATTGTTGGTATTCCTCAGATTGGCATCAAAGCTGAATGGAGAGGACACCATGGGAGACTTGTTCTCTTCATGGGAAACAAGAATACTTCTCCACTTACATCAGTTCAAGCTCTGATACTACCCCCTGCCCATTTAAAACTGGATCTGTCTCCAGTACCTGATACAATTCCTCCTCGAGCACAGGTATTTTCGGTCAATTTCTATTCATTTATGCATATTTTACTAAGACGTGCAATTTTTTTCATGGTTATAGGTACAATCTCCACTTGAAGTGATGAACATCCGCCCTAGTAGGGATGTTGCAGTTTTGGATTTCTCCTACAAGTTTGGTACAAACGTGGTACTTACTGTAAACGTCCTTAGCATGTTTTGGTGAATGGTTTATTTAGCATCTGTGACTCTACCTGACATGCTGGATTTTTTATAGGTCAGTGCCAAATTACGGATCCCGGCAACTTTGAATAAGTTTCTTCAACCGCTACAATTGACATCTGAAGAGTTCTTCCCTCAATGGAGAGCACTTTCAGGGCCACCCTTGAAACTTCAGGAAGTTGTATGTATCTCCACAGCTCTGACCAAATATGAAATATAAGTAATTGAGTAGTGCAGGAAAGAAGTCAAATGCTCCTAAGAATTTTCTTTTCAAAGAAAATAGTGAATATAGCTTTCTCCATAAAATCCTTTTAATGACTGATGATTGTTCTAGGTTAATTACAACACTTATAGAGAACTTCCAAGATTTCTACATGTGCTTGTTGATGCAGCATTACGTTAACATGTTATATAATCTGAATCTGCAACTTCTTTCAGGTTAGAGGTGTAAGACCTCTAGCTCTTCCGGAAATGGCAAATCTGTTCAACAGTTTCCATGTGACGATATGCCCTGGGCTTGTAAGTATTTTTTTACGATCTCATTCCTCATGCTTGTTGCACACATGTGTACTTCAAACTTAACTTGTATGGTTTTCTGTTGTAGGATCCAAACCCTAATAATCTAGTGGCAAGCACAACCTTCTACTCTGAAAGTACAGGAGCCATACTCTGTTTGGTGAGATTTCAACCAAATTTCACTTCCTGGTTTTGGCAGTTGCCACTCTTCCAATTCCTAAAATTTCTTAGACTTGTTGTAATGACGTGTGACATTGTCCGTGGTTTGCGATTTTCAGGCAAGAATTGAAACAGACCCAGCGGACAGAACCCAATTGCGAATGACAGTAGGCTCGGGAGATCCTACCCTTACATTTGAGTATGATATCTCTGCCTCATAGCACAAACCAAACCTCAAACACAGTTTTTTTGTTTGCATTTGTTGACCTCTTTTATCCGCAGGTTAAAAGAATTCATCAAGGAACAACTAATTACTATCCCAATGGGATCTCGAGCTCTAGTTCCAGCAGCAGGTTCAGCACCATCACCAGCACCACCTGTAGCTCAACCGCCTAGCCCAGCAGCTTTAGCTGATGATCCAGGAGCTATGCTTGCTGGCTTACTTTAAATTCATTGGGATATGAGATTACTTGCACATGTCGAAAAGTTTGTTTTTTCGGTTATTGTAGAAATGTAATGGCGGAAATATGGAATGATGGGAGAGTATATGTAGAGCCAAGGGGTGGGAGAGGGGAAGGGTTTAATAGAAAAGCTAGTTTTGATTATATTTGTGCCTAATATCCAAAGCGGGTGGGTTGAGTTAGCTACGATTCGAAATTTTGCATTCAATCTGAATATTTGTATTGTGAGGTCAGTGGTTGTATCAGCTTGTTCTTGTGCGTATATATTGTCAATCTGTTTCTTCATGATTTATCTGATGGGAGGTCTATTTTTTCGCACTAGCCTTCATGTTGAGAGATTCTAATCTAAGTCATTAAGGGGAGAATTGCAAAAACACATCCCCCAACGCATAGCATTTCACCTGTTAAAACCTGGTATTGAGGAGAAATCAATCTCTCAGAAGTTATAACATTTGCCATTGCATTCGAGTTTTGATTTCGGAAATCACAGTTGTATTTCAAAAACCTCTAGAATCCATGAAATGCTTATAAATGTGCAGCAGATGAAGCATGACCGCTTCATCATCTTTACCTGTTGGTCTTTAGCAATTTTCACTTTCAAATTTGCTGATCCTCTTTAAACTGAACAAAACAAAGTATGTTTGAAGAGACTGGTGCAGGAAGATGATGGCAAATGTTTACTGATATTATTTATACTAGGTGAATACCCGTGCAACGCACGAGTTGTTTCATTTAAAATGAATACAAACAAATACATATTGAAGTGTTACTTAAAAACTCAAGCATAAATACTGTATAGTGAAAGAGAATGAAAACCTATAAAACCATCTATCGATATAGAATTTCCAATGTAAATGTGTGTATACGTGAAATGGTTATCAAGTAATAACGTTAAAAACTTAAAATAGTGTTCATCGAATCAATCAATGTTTTAATTTAGTAATAACATAGAAATACACTATACAAGTTGGAACATGAATCCTCCAAATAGTTAGGTACATGTAGGATGAAAGCATATATCCATCACTACCTCCACAAGAGTTGAGAGACTTCACAAATTTTCTGTGTGAACATGGATGATGAATAGCAACATGAGGAAGAGAGGGTTTCAGCATTTCTTCAAGGAAGAAATTGGATTCTTCTCTTGATGACGATGTGATGTCGAGGAAGGAGTTTATCAGTTTTTGTTTGTCTCCGTTGCAATCGTTTTGTCATACTTGTTTTTTCCTTCAAGAGTTGCGATTACAGAGCTAAATCTAACAGACACGTGCCAAGCTTTTAAGTGCTGATGTGTCAGAAAGATAAGCACATCTTTCATATATGTGATTTAGATCTGCTGAATTTTTGATATATATAAAAAATCACAATTGTCCATGGAGAGGTTGAGAATCACCGTCCACGAAGTGTTTTGGAGGCTATGATCTTTCTCAGCGATAATGGTGACAGTTTGCCATCTCACTCGTTATGGTCATGCTCTTTGCCTCCCACGTCATCCAATTAAAGTTGGGAAAGAAACTTATGCCTCCGCTTATCCTATCAACAACTCTTATCCAAGCCGAACCAATCATCCACTAAATCTGCAATGCTTTATGACTGAACCAATGGTCTCATCTACATCTACTATTATCATTCCAGACTTGGTATACTATTGTCTCGACCACTAGGTCTTACAAAGATGTTCCAAACTTCATCAACAAGTGTACATCAAAGGAATTCAGAATCTCCTTTGCAGTACCAAGAACAAACTGAGCTTATCCTCTGCCATTGCAAGGAGAACTTTCAATTTATTTTCATACAAATTTAATTTACTTCTATTGACAATACGTATTCTTTGCATTCATCAATAACCACAAAATAGCAGCACAGATGGGGCCTAGCCAATAGCCAGAAAATGAAAACAAAAAAGAATGAGTCGAAACTTAACTTTGGGAGGAGAAAAGCCGCCACCTACATCCACTCACGGCAACGACCACATCTCCAGCTACCTCCTATGCAAGTAGATTCCTCCTCCCATGGAGAACAGTGGGAATGTATTGTCATAGTACAAGTCTGACATGTGAGATCAGGTCCTGGCTCCACATGCATGCATATCTGACATGGAATTGTATTGTCATAGAGAAATGATGTGCACTGTTCCATTGCCTCAACCTGAGGGTTTGGGTTATCTGTTATTCCTGAAGCATCCTTGTCATCTCCATATCCATCGTACTGGCCACTATCATCTGTTGTGAGTAACTCGGTCAGCGAGAAATATGTTTGGGGTTCGAATTCCATGTCTTCGTAGTCAAACATTAGCTCTCCTTCGACCATGTTGTTGTTGTTGCCAGATGCATCCCATTCCATGACAGGCAATGTTGGCTCCGTTTCTGGTTTCACAACAGGCATTGATTCAGGATGCATTGAAAACTCGCTACAAGAAAGATTATTATTCCCGTCTGTCTCTTCAGGTTTCACTTGTCTCCTAACTTGTAGCTTCTGGGGTACCGGCACCGAACCATCCCCTTTCCAGTCCACATCCAAACTGTTAGGTGTAATTTGTTCGATTTTAGAAACTGACACCAAGAGAGGATCATCCTCTGGAACAAACGTATCTTCGAAGAGAGACGAGGGAGTAGATGGCATCGAGTCTTTCGGTTCAGACATTCTATCGGAATCAGAATCTATTCCGATATTTCCTTGCCCATGTTTCTGCCTCCTGAAGAATACTTGTTTCATCTGCTTCTGTTCCTTGAGTTTGGGATCCATGTAAGGGCAATCTGGTGATCGTATACGACGGCATTTGCAACACTTGAAACCAACAACTTCAGGAATTTTTGACTCCTCGAGCTTAATCGCTTCAATGTGGTACCACTCTGCATACAGATACTACTATTAGATTTATAAATGCAAATTGGTGGCATTGACGAAATATACACTTCAGTATTTAGAGTGAGTAAATTATTCTTACTGTCACAACTTGTACAGTGAATATATGTTAGGCCAGGATTATACGGCAGTTTGCAGACCCAGCAAACTGGTTGCAGGTTCGGCTGATCAGATCGTGCACCCAACAGAACATTTTGATGTCTGAAACTAACACCTGTGTCTGCCAAGTTCTTTTTTCTCCATATGACTCCCCAAGACAATGTCTTGTGTTTACTCTTCGGTGCCAAATTGAAATCAGGAGTGATTTGTTTAACTCCTGAAGCATTGTCGCGTATTTTGGGAGATGGTAACTGTTGATTAAGAGGCTTAATCTGTGTCTTCGTGACTGAAGTGACTGCATTTTGAACTTGTCCGTTGATCAGGACAGTGGGTGTTGTTGGAGGTCTGTGATTGATATTGATTAGTGAACGTGCTCTTGCAAGGTAGCACCGTTTGCAGGTTACCAAAATTTCCACCTGACCAGTTGTGTGTTGTGTACTCATAGTACATTCCTTGTGACAGAAACCTAAGAGGCAAAAAGAAAATCAACAATTATTCAGCTAAATTTCCCAAAGAAAGATTTAGAAAAACAGAGTACTATAATCTTGTCAAATTTCATATAAAAATCGATCAGGTCCACCCATAATAAAGTGATAAACAAATATTAAATGCATGAGAATTTATATACAAAGCAAAGCAAAGAAATAAAAGCAGAGGGTGAGAAAAAAAAAAACTAGAAATGCAATAGAATAACTTTAAGAGGTAAAAACAAATAAAAAGGCAAGTGTAGTGTACCTTGGCAAGTACTGCATGTTGTTGAATCCCTATAGACATGTAGAGGACGGGAACAAAAATTAATATGATCTATTTAGAAGCATCCTGAAAGGTGAAAAAAGCTAAAGAAAATACCTCAAAAAAACATCGAGATGGCATGACGCACAAGAACACTTCTCCGTGTTGTCCCTCCGCGAGGCTAGATAAGAAAATATGTTCGCTCGAGAAGCTTTTAGTTGCCTTTTCTGGAGCTTCGATATTTTTCTTGATGGCTTCTTGATAAAAGGTATGTTTACCCTATGCAAACTTTCTTCATATTCTTTGATCAAATATAGGGGAACGCGTGCTTCATGAAACCAATACTTTTCGTCTCTATCTTCAGTTTTCTCGACTTCAATGACATTCTTCATGACACGGGATGGAAGATGCTTTTGATTCCCAAAGACAACTCCATATCTAACCTTGTTATCTATAATCTTCTTGTCACAAATACTAGCGTTCCTGAAAATAGCAGCCTCTGTCTCTGGACCTTTAACATCTTGCACGTTTTGCTCTGGGCGTACAAGTTCACTCCATCTTATATTCATATCCAGGTATCTAACCTGGCCCAATTCAGTTGAATTTCAGGGGATTAATAAACACAGAATCATTTGAATAAGCATTGATAATAGAAGACAAACCTGAAGAGCAAGCTGAGAAATGTTTTTGCTACTTTCAACTGCGGCTTTCCAAATAGACCGCCTGCTTCTTTTAGGAATGTAAGAGCCATCACCATAATTAAATTCAGGTAACTTTTTCATACCACCTAATGGAAAAAAAAACATATTGGCACTATCCCCAGAGTGAAATCAAATAAGATATCTCAGGTAGAAGTATCAAAAAAGAAAAAACTATAAGAAACACGGATGTATACGTGAGAATTGTTCACAAGCACAAAAAACATAACCAATCAAGGTTACCTTGCCAAGCTGCTTTCCTTATCTTAGGCTTCGACACGACTGCCTTGAGGAGTATAACTTTTGATAACTTCCCCCCTCGCCACCAAGTAAAGCTATCATCATCAGAACCTTGGGCTGTAATTTCAGCCTGGTTCCTCTGCTTCCTCTTACCAGGTCTACGTTTCTGTGTGGCCCCAACAGTATCTGGAGCGCTTTGAAAGATAGAATGTTCTATCAACCAATCATCAATTTGTTTAAGCCAGTCGCTTGACAGAGCAATACTGCAAATGTTTTCCTCAAGCTGTGAACAATTAAAATGAACCATATCATGCCAATATTTGGTTTAATAGCAAAATAAAGTGAATAAGAACAGAAATGTTTTAGAATGAAAAAAAAAAATTCTTACTTCAAGCAGGAGGGATTTCATCGCTTTGCATGTTGAAGCTTCCTCTAACTTCTTACGCCACTGATACCTAAGACTCTCAATAAGAAATGGCCCCGCAATGAGACCACGTAAGCTTTCCTCGAGATAGAGGATATATGCTGTGATACTAGAAAGTACTCCCTCCCCGTTCTTTAAAGGAAAAAGGCCACTGTAGATTTTCATAGCACTTTTGGTTGCCCCTGTTACAGCTGCATTTAACATGCATCCTCTCCTACTTGCTGATGTGAGTTTGCAAGAATGACACCATCCACACCTTTCCCTGGTAATTTCCTTCTTATCAGGACTTGGCCAGAAGAAACTCGAGGCTACTATCGAAAATGCTTTCACCTGTAGCAAGATGTTACTTGAAGCAGCTTTCTTGGCATTACTAAACTTGTGTAGATCAGGTTCATGGGTTTCCTCTGATAATAGGACAGCCAAAGTAGCACCAGCTGATGCAGCCAATTCTCCATTTGTGTAATGATTAACGTAAGCATGAGGTTTAAAAGATAAACCCTTCTGTGTACTGAGTGCAACCAAATTCTTCTCTTGCGCTCCATTTGATCTTGGTAAAACAGGACCGCCAGCATAGCCTGAAGCAGATGGGTGGAGGCCAACCGCATTTTGAATAAGATTTCCACTGGAACTACTTGCACTATCTGGCTTAACTATGTCTGACACCTCGCCACCCCCTTCTTTTTGCATGTGAGATAAATCAGTCTCCACTGCTCTCAGATAAGAGATCACATCTCCAGGCAGATCCCAGTATTGTGAGATCGCTTTGCATATATACAGATATTCCATTCTATGGTTCGTTGCAGACAAAAGCACCAGGACAACTTTTGGAAGGTCGGTGGCATTGTAATATTTGATATCTGCATCCGCATTGACATAAATTTTAAGCCTGTGATATAAGCGAAATAATCATCAGCATCCACAAAAAATAATTCATAATATTGGTTTTCCAACTATAAGTAAAATCTAGACAAGCTGATGAGTGAGAATTATTAAACTATAAAGTACAGAAACAACTTTCCATGAGAATCTAAATGAATATGGAGATATAGAATTGAAAGATCAGTTCTATTTCCATAAATTTGAAAGGCAAAGTATCTGAAATAAAGCGTCGAAAACATACACCAGTAAGTGATTGCATGTACCCAAAAAGAGTCGCCCATGTGGATCCACTCCAAAATACACTGCTCCCCTGAGTGACGTTTTATGAGCAACAGTTGGCCCCATTTTTTTTATAGTGCATTCTGGACAATACCACGGCCCATCTGGTATATACATTTTGACCACACCGATGCATCTTGAGTGATATGCTAAAGGGCATCCATCACAACACAGCAACGTTCCATCCATGCCACAGAGCCTACATTCATCACTGTTTCCATCCAGATCTGAGCTATCTCCATTAGGACCACAATCAGTATATCTTGAACTCAAGTTTTTTGACTCGTTCAGTGAACTTATCCCATGGTTCACTGCAACAAATTCACTAAGCTCTTTCTCCTTGCAAGCTGAGGTTTTAGCAAATCTGGGGTGGACCCTTCTAGGTCCATTTTCAGGAAGTTCAGCAGTAACTCCATCAGGATCAAATCCAACTTCAGATTCTTCTCGAGTATCCATTTCAGCTCTTATATCTGCTACATCAAAAACGTCATCACACAGAATTTGCAGGATCTTCAACTTCATTACTACGGGTGACGAATAATACTCCTTCTCCACAACAAATTCATTAAAAACTCTCCAGAGAGGCCCACTTGCATGTCCCATGGCAGCAAAGTACTGAACCAAATAAACAGGCCAAGTTAGCGCATCGAGCAAGCTCCAATCAATGCACCTGCAGATGGCAATGCAACAAATCCCCGAATTGTTATCCACTAAGATATGGGAGATCCTAAAACAAACTTCACCTAAACTAAGAATAAGAGGCTTATATTGCAGTCCCTTTTTCTCCTAGCTGTGATAAAAGGTTTGTTGCATGATGCACACATAAGAAAATAATGTATATTCACTAGCTTGAAAAATAATGTCAGTAATTCTACTGTTTCTAGCCAACAAACTAATTCTACTGTTTCACAGAATAATTAATTCACTTAAAAAAGTAAGGATATAGGAAAGTTAACTTGAAACACCTCAGAAAAGATACAAAATCAAGAACATCTGTTGAAAACTGTAAAGAACAAAAGTTGTCTGTGCTTACCTCAAGCATTTTGAAGCCACTTCAGACCCTTCAGAGGAAAGTCTCTCAAGATGACCTTTGAGTGCTCGCATCAAGGCAAGATGAATGGCATCCAGCAAAGAATTTGGTCCTAAGAAATTTAATGCTCCGACAAAATCATCCAATCCAAAAGGGCAGATATATAACTGAACACTGAATGATCTAAAGAACCCATACACAGATAATAGATACACCACAGCCTCCTCAGGGATACCAATTGTTCCTGATGAAGAAGGCAACTCCACTGGTGGAACAAGAGGAGACATAGTTTCGGAATCTGGATCTATGTTATCTTCACACTCAGGTGAACAACAACCACTTTCAACTTGTGCCACAGGACTTGGGCTAGTACATGTGGGCACCTCAACTCCTTTGTTCTTCAAGCAATCTGTTTTCTTCTTTTCGTCATTCTTCAGTATAAAGTCGTCTAATTTACTCCTTCTAGCACGTAATTCATCATCAAAGTAACTATCCCCAATAATCAACTGGCGAAGATAACGAGTTTCCAAATCCTCAAAATCACCATCCTCATATACAACTCTGTACAAGCCACTCTTGTAAGAAACAATCTTGCCAAGAAAAACTCTAGAGTCATCAAGATCTTTCAACACATAGCAACCAAGAAGAGATCTAGGTACAGCCACTTTCATCTCTAAAACCGGCCTCTTCCCTCGATTAGATACCCCATTATGATCCTCTGGTCTGGGTCGTTTCCTCGGTCTACCTCTAGGTCTAGCCACCTTCCCTTCCATCAAGAAACGAAGAAGAGAACAAGGATCGAGAACAAGAGAGAAGGAGATGCTAGGGATCTGGAAATATCTTCTTAATTGCTTAGATATGAATAACCAACCCTAAAATGGTCATGCTCCTTTCAGAACTACAAGCAATCCAACTTAGAGATAACATAAAAACGACACACAGTTCCATTTAAACTACAAGCATTCCTCATTATAAAAGAGACTCTGCCTGCTCTAGAGTCTTTCCTCCATTACTCATCGTCACTCAAAGCTGAAGCACAATCTAAGATCCACGAAGCTCCTGCAGATTCAAAGCTGAAGCGAAAGAAATCAGAGCCATGATCCAGTGACAAAATCTGAAATCTTTTCACTTTTTTTGAACTTGGAACATATGCTAGATTTTGATAACCACCATTAATGATGTACTTAGAGAGCTTAGGTAACCAAGAGAGAGAGAGAGAGAGAGAAATAAAAAGATGAGCTTTTTCAATCGTGTCGAATGGCTCTTACTTCTCACTTCTCACTTCTGAGTTCTAATAGCAGATATTATTTAACTGAGTTCAACTCGGGAATCGGGTTACCCGGATTAAGACCCGTTGGATATCTATAAACGTTGTCGTTTAATTTAACACCCCAAACCATTCAAAATTAAGCCTTAAAATGTCGTCGTTTTATATTTTATTTTTATCCCTTTAAATTATAAAGAAAAAAAAGAAAACAGTATACTGGCGGGAGTTTGAGAGACTCGTCGCTAATTTACGCGCGTTTCTCGGTTCCGGCAGATTTCGTACGCCGTCGTCGATCTGCTTCAATTTCTAGTTCGCTCTGTTCATTGGGTTTTTCTTGTTTTCGCGTCTTTAGCCACAATTTCTTTGAAATTTCTAGAAAGTTTCGAGATTTCCCCCTGAAATTGTAGGATTAGGGTTTTGAAATGGGAACAAAAGTCTCAGACGATCTTGTTTCCACCGTCAGATCAGTCGTGGGTTCCGATTACTCAGACATGGATATAATCAGGGCTTTACACATGTCGAACCGTGATCCAACGGCTGCTATCAATATAATCTTCGATACTCCAAGTTTCGGCAAACCTGATGTAGCCACTCCTATCCCGAGCGGCTCTAATGGAGGGAAGAGAGTCGAGAATCGAATAAAGGGCTGTTCTTTTGGTGACAGCGCAAGTGTTGGAGTGACTCATCTCGTGGAGGAAGAAGACGAGAGTGTTAATGGTGGAGGAGAAGAGAGTGTTTCAGGGAATGAGTGGTGGTTTGTGGGTTGTTCTGAATTGGGGGGGTTATCGACATGTAAAGGAAGGAAATTGAAGTCCGGTGACGAATTGGTGTTCACATTTCCGCATAGTAAAGGATTAAAGCCTGAGACTACGCCTGGGAAGCGCGGCTTTGGACGGGGGAGGCCAGCTTTGCGTGGTGCTTCTGATATCGTCAGGTTCTCTACAATGGATTCAGGAGAGGTGTGTTTTAATTTTTTTATCTGCTGTGTTAAGTTTTTCATGTCTGTTAGATGGGGATTGTTACAGAACTATGATGGAATCTTGTGGTAGATTGGTAGAATTCCAAACGAGTGGGCTCGGTGTCTTCTACCGCTTGTGAGAGACAAGAAAATTAAGATAGAAGGGAGTTGTAAGTCGGCGCCTGAAGCATTGAGCATCATGGACACAATTCTTCTTTCTGTAAGGTATGCATACAAGATTTTGTGTTTCAGTTGACAATTCCAGGAAAGATGGATTAGTTTTTGAAGTGGTGAGTTTGTTTTGATACAGCGTGTACATTAATAGTTCCATGTTTCAAAAGCATAGTGCGACTTCATTTAAAACGGCCAGTAATACGGCAGAGGAATCAATGTTCCATCCTCTCCCAAATCTCTTTCGGTTACTCGGTTTGATCCCCTTTAAGAAGGTAATGATTTTTCCTTGCCTATAACATTTTGAATTGCTGACTCTTTTATAGATTGCAGTTTGTAGTTCCCATATACTTCTCTTATGATGTGACTCTGAATTTTCTTGAGATGACAAAGAAATATCTCTATCATTTTGATTTTATTTTAGTGGGATGTTTATTTGTGAAAATCATTATTTGTTTCTTCACCATATTTAGGCAGAGTTTACTCCAGAGGATTTGTCCTCTAAGAAGCGACCTTTGAGTTCCAAGGTAAAAATTACTTTTATATCAGCATCTTAAACTTTGACTTCTTGCTTGTAAAGCTTGTCATTTGCTGTCTGCTCCTTTGGAAATAGGATGGTTCTGCTATTCCTACTTCGTTGCTTCAGCTAAACAAGGTCAAGAATATGAATCAAGATGCAAACGGAGATGAAAATGAGCAGTGTATCAGTGATGGTGATCTTGATAACATTGTTGGTGTTGGTGACAGTTCTGGATTAAAGGTATTCTCATTTCCAAGACTTTTTGCTTTCTTATATCCGCCATTAGAAATCTCCTTTGGATAATTACGTGAGAAGTTTTACAACAGGAAATGGAAACTCCACATAAACTTTTGTGTGAGCTTCGTCCATACCAAAAGCAAGCACTTCATTGGATGACCCAACTGGAGAAAGGAAAGTGCACTGATGAAGAAGCAACAATGCTTCACCCATGTTGGGAAGCATACTGTTTAGCAGACAAGTGAGCGATGTTTCTATTGCCTGCCAAAGTTAGTGCCAGTCAGATAAGATATTTACTATCTGTTTATGTCAATAGGAGGGAACTTGTTGTCTACCTGAATTCTTTTACCGGTGATGCTACAATACACTTCCCTAGCACACTTCAAATGGCAAGAGGAGGAGTATGATCTCAATACCCCACCTATAAAAATTTCTTTGATTTATCTTCTAGATTTTGTCACTTTGTTATATAGCTGTTTTGTAATAAGATTATGTCATAACACTTACGTAGATTTTAGCAGACGCAATGGGTCTCGGAAAGACCGTAATGACCATATCCCTTTTAATTGCCCATTCTTGGAAAGCTGCATCAACTGGGTTTCTATGCCCCAACTATGAAGGAGACAAAGTGATCAGTAGTTCTGTAGATGGGCTCACTAGTCCCCCAGTGAAGGCAACCAAATTTCCAGGCTTTGATAAGAAGCTTCTTGCACAAAAAAGTGTACTTCAAAATGGTGGTAACCTGATTGTATGTCCGATGACACTTTTAGGACAGTGGAAGGTATTATATACGTCTGATGCTAATAATTTATTTCCATGCTTAATGCACGTGAACACTATAGTTTGGTTATCCGTCAAAGTTTATAATTATTCTTTGTCTTTCCTTGTGTCAGCTAATATTTTCTTGCTCCTGCTTTATGATCAGTCAGAGATTGAAATGCATGCAAAGCCGGGGTCTCTATCTGTCTATGTTCACTATGGGCAGAGCAGGCCAAAGGATGCAAAACTTCTTTCCCAGAATGATGTGGTAATCACCACATATGGAGTTCTAACATCAGAATTTTCGCAAGAGGTAGCTTTCATATAAGAGTCTTCGGGTCATGTCTTATTCCATGTATGTAGTTTACAAAAGCATCGCATGAACATTTTCTTATGTTCTCTGTTTTTTTTTCTTCTTCTTAGAATTCAGCAGACCATGAAGGAATTTATGCAGTTCGATGGTTTAGGATTGTTCTTGACGAGGCACATACCATCAAAAACTCAAAAAGCCAAATTTCCTTGGCTGCTGCAGCTCTGGTTGCTGATCGGCGGTGGTGTCTTACGGGTACTCCTATTCAGGTGATTGATCTTTTTGTCAAGGGTTTAGAAAGAAAATCTTTGTTCTTGACTGTCCTATAGGCCAAACTTCTTAGGACACTGCCATTCTATCTGTAGAAGAATTTTAGTAGTTGGACATTTGTCGAATGGTCTAAATCTCTTTTAGAAGGATATCAACTTGTTGTGCATGTTTTTTTGTACACAAGTCTCGACTTTATCTCACAAACTTGTCTTTGAAGATTTATTTCATATATCTGCTGGCATGATATCTTCGCTCATTTAAATGGATGATGGATAGTAATTTGTTTTTCATATTAGGAACTTTGTGATTAATTTACATTTTATCTTATTAACAGAATAATCTGGAGGATTTATACAGCCTTCTACGGTTTTTGAGGATTGAACCATGGGGAACTTGGGCATGGTAACGGTCCTTATCTATCTTAGGTTGGAAACACATTACGTTTGGTATGGTATTACTGAAGCTTGTTAGTTTGGAACATTTGTATTCTTAGGTGGAATAAACTTGTCCAAAAGCCATTTGAAGAGGGTGATGAGAGAGGGCTAAAGCTAGTGCAGTCTATCTTAAAACCTATCATGCTTAGGAGAACCAAGTCTAGCACAGACCGAGAAGGAAGGTCGGAATACTACAAATAATAGATCAGTCATCTGTATAACTTCCTGATGCTTATAAAACATAATATTTTCCTTTGAGTTTCCTCGGTTAATCTGAAGCTTCTTTTTTTACTTTAGGCCGATTCTTGTTCTACCCCCTGCTGATGCACGGGTCATTTACTGTGAACTCTCGGAGTCTGAGAGGGATTTCTACGACGCGCTATTTAAAAGATCCAAGGTATTGTTTTCCTCAGGATTATTTAGTTTTTACTCGAACTTTTCTTTTTAAGATGCCTTATACTGAAGATGCTGACGGATCTTTTTCAGGTCAAATTTGATCAATTTGTTGAACAAGGCAAAGTTCTTCATAATTATGCTTCGATCCTGGAACTGCTTTTGCGTCTTCGACAATGTTGTGATCACCCATTTTTAGTAATGAGGTGTGGCTTTTACTGGCTTTTTATTTAAGTATAGATACACATTGCTGGGTTAACTTCCATGGCTACTTAATCTATTGCACGACCTTGTATAAAATATCGTAGACAATATGGGCAATTTGCTATAAGAAACATGCATCCGTAGCCCTTGTTTCTGTTTGACATTGTATTGACGCAATTGCCATATTTCTTATAACAGTCTCTTGTTTTTCATGCATCCAGTCGAGGAGATACAACGGAATACTCTGATCTGAATAAGCTCTCTAAACGTTTCCTTAGTGGAAAGTCTTCTGGCTTAGAAAGGGAAGGAAAAGATGTACCATCAGAGGCTTTTGTTCAGGAGGTGGTAGAGGAACTGCGCAAAGGAGAGCAGGGAGAGTGTCCAATATGCCTTGAAGCATTTGAGGATGCCGTATTAACACCATGTGCTCATAGATTATGTCGTGAGTGTCTCTTGGCAAGTTGGAGAAATTCTAATACTGGGTTATGTCCTGTGTGTAGGTATATTGAAGTTCTTCCTGCTATTACTAGTTTTCTTTTGCTGTTGATTCCACTGAGTGTCTGAGTAAGGTCTAATTTGGCAAATAATGATGAATCTTTGCTTTTCAGGAAAACTGTAAGCAAACAAGAACTCATCACAGCACCAACCGAAAGTAGATTCCAGGTTGATGTGGAAAAGAATTGGGTGGAATCATCCAAAATAACTGCTCTTCTAGAGGAGCTTGAAGGTC